GTATATAGTGAGATAAGGGTCTAGTTTCATTCTTCTGCATATGGAGCTCCAATTTTCCCAGCACCATTTATTGAAGAGACTATCCTTTCCCCAATGTATGTTCTTATCTCTTCTGTCAAAAATCAGTTGGCTGTAAGTACATGAATTTGTTTCTGAATTCTCTATTCTGTCCCATTGGCCTATAGTGTCTGTTTCTGTGCCAGTTTGATTCTTTTCTCAGAGTGTAATCTATATAGTGAAATGCACAAAGCTTAGTACCACTCAGTGAGTTCTGACAAATACATACATCCATTTAATCCATGGCCCTTTCAAGATATAGAACATTTTCGTCACCCCAAAACATTCTGTCACAGCCTACCCAGTACGTTCCGGCACTAATTCCACTCCTGAGGCAACCACTCATCTGCTCTTTTTTCCCACTATTGAAGAGCTTTGCCAATTTTAGAACTTCGTATCAATGGAATTGTGCAGTAGGTGCTCAGTAAGTTTTGAGATTTCCCCCATGTTGTTGAATGTCTAAGTTTAATGTTATTTCTCTTTATTGCTTAAGAGTATTCCATTATGTAAATATATCTTAATGTGTTTATCCATTCTCCTCGGGATGGACATAAGGACTCTTTTCACTTTTTGCCATTATGAATAAAACTGCTATAAACTGTCTTGTACAAATCTTTTTTTTTTAACTTATGGGTTAATACCTAAGAACAGAACTACAGAACTGCTGGGTTCTTAGTTCCTGTTTAGTTATATAAGAAACTGCCAAGCCTTTCTCCAACGTGGCTGTTCCATTTTACACTCCCATCAAGAGTGTATTCTCCATGTCCTCACCAAGACTTGGTACAATCAGCTGTGTTAGCTTTACCCATTCTGAGGNGATGATGATCCAACTGAGGGCAAGTTCAACAAAAGAAAACCTTTTAATTTGGGGGTCTGTGTACGTTAAGTATCATGCTAGTCACCTAGTTCATCCTAGCTACGTGACTAACCTTCCTTTTTCAATGCACCTGTGGTCCATATATTGCAAGTTTGGTTACATAAACAGATTGAACATCTAAATGCATTTCTAGGTCATTAGTCAATATGTAACAACATGTGCAAGACCCTCATTTATCTTCCAGCTAATAAATTTCTTTCTTTTCTATTTTTCTCTTTTNTGGTGTTGGTGGGGACTCCTGTCTCTACGATTGTTCCCACTAGCGCCTGCCCATCAGTAAAACCACTTCACTGAGCTCTCTCCCCCAAGGACTTTACCTCAGTTGGGGGAGGCAGAGGGAGGAGATGGGAGTTACTACTTCTACTATTTAAGTCTTCTATCTTGCTTAGGAAGGAAAGTTGAAAATATCAGAAGAATCACCTGACTGGGTCAAATCAGCAAGTTCAAAGTTATCTTTTGATTCACGATAAATTTTGAGGCAAAAGATTCTCATTTCTAAATCCCAGCCTTTATCTTTGTTTGCAGCAAGATGTAAAATCTTAACAATATTCTAGAGAAGAAAAGTTCCCAACACTCAGGCTCAACCTGTTTTCCTTCCCACTCCCCTAAGAACCTTCCTGATGTCTGCGTTTTACAGAGGAGGCAAGCGCACTGAGCTGAGCCTCTCACATGCAGAATCTGTGACCCAGCTCACACTAGCACCCACACATGCCTCTCCCCCAGCGGCCGCTCCCGGTGGTGGCTGGTGGCTCCCTCCACTCTGCAGAGCTGCATGCCTGGCCTGCTTCCTCCACCAAGCCCCGCTCACGCTCCAGGCATCTCCTGGCTCCCATCCTCTTTCCTCCCCCCCACCACCCCAACTTTCCTCTAATTCTGTGAGTTACCTCATAACACTCTTGTTCCCTCATCCTTTCTTTTGTTCCCTCATCCTTCCTGTTCCCCCACCCTCTCTGGCTTATGAGAACTAAAAATGTAACCTAAGCTGGCCTGGTACCTATCAAAGTAGGGCTAGTGCCTTAATGAAGTGAGACATCATGGAGAACCAACACCGCCAACCTCTAATGCCCTTGAAAGTGCCAAGAGGTTCCCTTTCAGAAGCCCCACAAAGGAACCTTCTACTTTCTCATCACCTCCTAATGAAACTCGTTTTTCCTCAAGTACCAGCATTCCACATGGACAAAAAAACTTTTGTCTCCATATCAGGTTTCTGTTTTAGTTAATAGCATCACAGTGGCATTGTTTTCTGTTACTTTGGTTGCAAAGATCCAGCATGTCTGTTACATTTTAAGTTAAATTGCAACACTTTGTCCATGACAAATCATGTCTTAAATGCCAAACTGACTGAATCTTCTGGAATAAGAGCAATTTCTAAATTAGAACTTGCTTTCCCCCCCCACCCCATTCAGTTATAGAATTTTCTCTGTGGTGTATTCTCTTTTATATAGAAATTTATGCACATACAATAGTTCCATTCTCAACACCACAGCTTTATATACATTATCCCTACCTATAAAACATAAATTATTATGACCCCCATTTTACAGATGAGGAAACTAAGATTTGGAACAGTTTTGTAACTCACAGCTAGTAAGTGGCAGAGCCTGAACTCGCACCTTCGTTGGTCAGCCTCCAGCTGATACTTTCTCAACTACTATGCTGTACTTCTCCCTGCAGTGCTTGGTACCACCCAGTACACAAAGTGAAGCATCCAAGCATGGACTTGAATAGGCCATGAACGTGTGATCCCCATCCTCATCATTCTCTGCATCTCCACCATGTTCCTAAAAATTTGTTCAGACCTTACCAAATCTCAGAAGGACAAGAAAAGAGATTGGCAAAAACTCTGAAGAAGTAGTAAATACAGATCTTCAGTAAATTCAGAGCTATTTCGCAAATCAATGCTGTATCTAGCAAAGAGACTCCAGCTGTGCAATTAATAATCAGCATCTTTTATGTATTCTAAATAGCTCTCACCTGGTTCTGAGCAGTGACACAGACTATGGCTTATGCACCTGGTCTGTTATGTCATCCAGAGTGCTGGGGCTTTCTTTACTAACTTGTTCTAATGGATTTAATACAAATTGACTAAGAAGATACCCCCATTCAATAGAGACTTTGTGGGCTGCAGTACAGTTAAGTGCCAAAAAGAGTGAGAGCCCAGATTTGGTTGTAGGAGCTGACCCTTTTCTACTGATTCACCTGGCTTTTCACCTGCTCCTGACACATGAGGCCAGTGCCCCTGGATACTTTCAGCCTACAACATTTGTAATGATTTCATCCTTCTTTCAATATGACTTTGGTGCCCATGGTGGGCAGGCTTCCTTGTCCCCAACTCTACCCCCTTCTAGTTTACTTTCCTTTACTTGAAAGGCTGGAAATTCAATGTTTTTGAGATTCTCTTGCAGCTAGCATTCCAGACACAAATTACATTCTTCTAATTAAATGTATTTGCATGAGGCCCAGAAAGTAGAACTGAGGCAGGAACTATCTTCCTGCTCCTTTTCTTTCAAGCTTTTTACTTATTTTTTTTTTGCTGACAAGTAAGATCAAAAAAAGCTTAGCTCATTTTTTTTTTAACAGCATTATTCCAATTGGTAATGTCTAACTTCCTGAATGTTGAGAGGCCATTTATCTTCCTGCTCCTTTTCTTTCAAGTTTTTTACTTATTTATTTTTTGCTGACAAGTAAGATCAAAAAAAGCTTAGCTCATTTTTTTTAACAGCATTATTCCAATTGGTAATGTCTAACTTCCTGAATGTTGAGAGGCCATTGAGGCAGTTGGTGGCAGCAGCAGCTTTTTGAGTCTGGTTTCTTGAACCCTGGACTACAGCTATGGGGTTATGTCTTGAGCACCCCTTCCCAGGGGTGATCTCAGAAGTGGTTGCCCCTCCCCCTGGAGAGCTAGTTCTGCACTGCCCCAGATCCACCTTCTGCACCCCCTTCTCCATCATCAACACAAGCACTAACATTTCTTGTGTGATCACTGTCTGTTAGGCACTGTGCTAAACATTTTACATAAATAATTTTATTTAAACCTCAAAACAACCCCATGAGGAAGGTACTACTAATATCTTATTTTTCAGACGCATTAACTGGAGTTCAAAAAAGAGACAAATTGCACAGGATCAGAGCAAAGCTAGTGGGTAAGTAATAGAGCTGGAATTCAATCCCAGATCTGCCTCACTCCAAAGCCTGAGCTGTGCTTCTTTAAAGTTGAGAGCTTGGGATGCATTAGCAAATTTTAATTGCCCATAAACATTATGTTTCTGAAAAGGCATCATTCTTTTAAACAATATAGACACACAGGCCAATCTATTTTGTGTCAAGATGCATCTAGATATGGAAGGAGCCTTCAGTCTAATTAAGCAGAAAGCTATTTAAAAATCCAAAGGTATCACTTTGTGAAAACTTGCTTAAACCATACAAAGATCATTTTTACCATAAAGATTAAAGAATTAAGATGAAGCAGACACAACCTTCTACTTGCCTTTGGAAGGAAGGACCAGAGCTAGGAGAACAGACACACACTTACCAGGCGCTCGGTTAACAGCGAGGTTTCTGAAATGGCTGCCTTTGATCATTTCCACAGATAATCGCCCTGTTGTGGCATTGTACGACAGCCCCACCAACAGCTCTGGCGCCCCTCCATGGGACAGCGACTGCATGGATGAAGCACTGTCACTGTGAGAAACTGCAGATGGGCTGAGCGGAGACACTCCACTCTGGAGGGGAAGAATGACAAAGAATCCATTGGCCCACACTGCACTACTCTCTTTTAGAGAACACTGATATTATGTGCAGCGAAATGGTGCCCCAGTCTCAATGACTGCCAAAGATTACTAACAGTGGACTCGGTGTGAATTACAATGGGCCTGGGAGCACAGTCATGGCTGAGATCCCTGCATTATTAGCCAACATATCTATCTCAAGAGCTGCCTCCATTCAATATTTCCTCTCTAAAGACAAAACAGACAAAGATGTTATTGCTAGTGTAAATCAAACCCTCTAAGATACATGGAGAGCTAATAATACATTTAATATAGACCCAAACTCCCTTCTGTGTATCTGTACTTGACTGTTTCTATGGAACCCATCCACTCTAGGCCTGAGCTTTGTTTCCGTTCTCTGCAGCTTCTTGATGAAGCAATACAAGAGGCATTTTGTCTCAACTATAAAAGAAATGAATGCTGGATGCCTACCACAACATAGAACATTTGGCTCCTAGTTCTGCTTCTGAAGGCTGCTAGGTATATGCCAGATATTAAATTTTGCCTTCTAAGGAAATAAATTACATTTAAAATGAACACATTTACAACTGTTTGATAAAGAAGCTGACCCATGGATCATGGATCTAAGTGACCTAGTGGGCACCAGGTGAGCCCAGGAGAGAGACTAAGCTTTCTGCCATGTTTATTCATGTACGTGTGTCTCATCAGCACCCACCTTTATGTACCAGGCACCTCAGGAGGAAGAGAGCAAAGTAGATCAGGACACTGATTCTCACTTGAGAAGCAGGAGCGGGAATCTGCCCTGCCGGGGCAGGACAGCCAGTCTCCCTGAGACACCACCTCCTCCACCAAAACAACTGCATTGAACTTTGCTTAAACCTTTCTTCCCAACATTTGAAATTATGTCCTAATACTTCTTATAAGGAATTCCAATAAATAAAACCAATAAAAGGAATCAAACATTCTGCACATATGAAGGAAAGTATCCTGTTTACCCAACCATGGGCATCTCTGTAGAGCCCCCGGCTTTCATGGAACACAATTTGTATACTACCGGGCTAACAGGTTTTCACAGGTGCCTTACAGTCCCTGCTGTTTAGAAGATAAAAATCCCAAGATGAAAATTTTGCTTGCTTTTTGGGTGAGGATCACTTCCACCCCTGCACTTGTACAGAAGGTTCTACTGTGGCACCCATCACTGCACCACTTGCCCTCCCGTCAAGTTCTGAATCCATATAAATCTCTCAGTACTCAGGGCAAGGCCTAATATCTGGCATATTATCGTGCTCAGTGAATAACTGGTAAATGAAAGAATTTTCACCTTCAGAGTTCTTTTACGCTGGCTCATTTTCCCCATTCAACTCTGTGCCCCCAGCACACAGCACAGGGCCTGGCACAGAGAAATACAGGTGTGATCACACCTATCCCCATGCTTTATAGTGCAGGATCCCTCATGACCTCCTGGAGCAGCTTCTTTCCGTGATTTCAGATATACTTTACTAAGAGCTAGAAAAAAGAGGGATTTGAGCAGAGGTGAGATACGATCTGGTTATGCTTTAAAATGCTCATTCTGGCTCTGTGTTAGGAATAGTCTGGGGGCAAAGGCAGAAGCACCACCAGGGGGTTGCTTCAATAATCCAGCAGAGAGCCAGGTTCTGCTGTGATGGAAGACAGAGCTCGCAGGATTTCAGGTGGAAAAGAGAGAAATTACAGACGATGTCTAAGATATTTTACCTTAGCTACTGGGAGGATGAAGTTCAGGCAAGATGGGGAAGACCGCAGGTACAATAGAGTTAGGGAGGCAAAAAATCAGGATTTTAAGTCCGGAGATGTTAATTTTGAGAGCTCATTAGACATTCAAGTGGACAGATCCCTCACCACCACATTCCAGCTTTTCTGGCTCCTTGGCTACTCCTCAAATGTGACAAGCTCCTCCCCACATCCTGACACCTGCAGGTGCCATTGCCTCTGTCTGGAGTCCTCCTCGTTTGCACGTCACCAGTCTTGCTCCCTCAATTCCTTGAGTTCTGTGTTTTATCACCACCTCAAAGAAAGCTTCTCTGACCCCTCTAAAAAACAGCAGACTGTGTCACTCTGTCTCCTTGCCTTCCTCCACTACACAGTAAGCTCCCCAAGAATCAAGGCATCACCTGTTCCTTTCTTTCCTTCATCCGCTTTGCCCAGACAGCACTTGACAGTATATGTCTTTGAATGAATGGCCGATTGGCTCAATAACCCAGGATGGCTACCTGATCTTTTTAAACAGTTTTT